AATGGATGTGTAGTAAGGCTAGAGGAAGAAACAACAATTAGGCAGCTACTTCAATAGCTCAGGTGAGAAATGAACTCAGTAGTAAGTGGGATTTAGATAAGAAAATGGACTTGAGACTTTACCTGGCATTATGTGTAGGATGAATGGATGTGTAGTAAGGCTAGAGGAAGAAACAACAATTAAGCAGCTACTTCAATAGCTCAGGTGAGAAATGAACTCAGTAGTAAGTGGGATTTAGATAAGAAAATGGACTTGAGACTTCGTGAAGATAGAAAGAACCTCAGGACAAACTGCACATGGTGATGGGGAAGAGGAAGTATAGCACCAAGCCTGGGTACCATGCAGGGGCTTATCGGGGCCTCTCCTCCAACTGCTGACCTCATCCCCACTGCACCAAGATTGCCTAAGCCCACTGACATGACTACATATATCATGGGCCGTAGTGGAGCCATGCATAATGGTGCTGCTGTGAAGCTCCTGACATCAAAACACCAGAACATACCACGGTCCAGTGGTTTGTCACAAGGAAAGCACAGGGACAATCTTCAAAGAACTAACTTGGAGCTGTGGCTCTTCCATGCATTTGATATATGATCTTAGGTGCATGACATCACCGAGCTTTTGAACTCTCATCAGTAAAAGAAAGACAAAAACCTTTACCTGTGCTTAATGCTCATGGATTTTGTGAGGTCCACAAAGTGCTTTGGAAACTGAGAAGTCCTGTACAAAGATGAATTACTAATGCTACTGTCACTGGTCTCTCCAAGCAATCTCTTCCATTCTTATCTTTACAAATATTCAGGTATTGCCAACTGACCTGAAGTTTATATCTACATCCATCCCTCCACCCACCCTAACTACCTCTTCTTTTTTGTTTCTCTGATCTTAGAATTGACAGATATTTAGCACCAGGACTACAACCATGATAGCTCTTTCCAAAATGCCAACAATTAATTGTACTGTGCCTAAAATATACGCCCTTCTTTTTTTCTAAAATGAAAAGAAATTTAAACATTCTGATATTACTGGAACATTCAAAATGCCACCATGTCAACATTTTCAAATATTTTCTTAATCTTCAAAGAAATTACCAGTCTAGGAGTCCCTTCAACACTGACCCCAATGGTTCATTACCTCCACTCTCTTCTCTGAACCATTAAATATATCCCTCACCCAAAACTCAAATGAGTTCTAATTCTGGAAAAGAAAAACTTTGTGTTCAATTTACTGAGAGAGTTTGCTGATCTTCAAGTTCCCACCTTCATGTAGGATTATCCAAGGAGGTTTTAATAATACATGATTTCAGAATCCAACCTAACCTCCACGCTAGGTGGGATGGGACTCTTCACTTTCCCTGGGATGCACAGTACCAGTGCTTTCACACACTACATGGCAAACATCAGAGCTAAGGGTGACATATATTAGGTTTTACAATGAGGGCAAGGGTGTTAAAGTTGCCTTGTCACTTTAGACCTGAGAGTCATCACTGGCTTCTAGGTCCTTGTCCCAGCACTTTCAAGGTGGGTCACCTTATCTGAATACTGGAGAAAACACACGCTCCATCTCACATGCACGTGATGATAATGCACAGGACATGAGTTCTGTGAAGTACACAGCAAGCTGCAGCTAATATTAGCTTTTATAAATCAGAAAAGAGGAAAGATTCCATTGTATCTTTAAGAGGATTTCCAGTGAGAGGGAACATTTCTCCCTTATGAAGACTTACTTATAACAATATTTTTTAAGCGACTCAGTGGAGATGTATAGAAAACACATTATGGCCTACTATAGCACACGAATTCACTGCTCAGCACATTATGAGAATGAGGATTTCCAGTGAGAGGGAACATTTCTCCCTTATGAAGACTTACTTATAACAATATTTTTCAAGCGACTCAGTGGAGATGTATAGAAAACACATTATGGCCTACTATAGCACAGGAATTCACTGCTCAGCACATTATGAGAATATAGATACAATCATGATTCCCCCTAAGCTTTGCAGGTTCTGATTTTGTCTTCCTTTCTTGGTTTCCTCTTCCTTCCTTTTCTTTCTTTCCTTTCTCCTTTTTCCTCTCTTCTCTCTCTTTGTTTATACTGCATTACAATGTAGGAAAATTAAAACAGCTCATTGCTCACCTCAAATACAGGGGAGATTCATTTCTTTATTTTTTAAAAAAACTTTCCTTAATAAGTTAAATGCCAAACTCCACAGAAATTCTCAATGTAATAAAAGATAATTGTTTTAAGGCATGAAGTTGGAAAAGCTGAATAGTCTTCACTTGGCAATTACTGAGCCCTTGGAAATTTCCAGGCTCTCTGCAATCATTAATTAATTAGTGAAGATGATGTTCCACTTTACTGAGGTTGGAAGCGTGACATAAAGAGATCTAGAGGTTTTCCTAAAATTGAAAGAGGAATGTCAATGGAAGAACTGGATAAGAATAAGGAGCTCATTTCTCAAGCGGTAGTCACATCACTAAGCCAAAATGAGTCAATACATGAACAATACGGTCCTCTGTGCACAGGTGCAGTTGAATACAGCAGTGTTCTGCTCAAAGACCAACTGTGAGAGAGCCCACCCCTGCACCAGCCAATGCCTCCACAACGCACACTGACTGTATCTGCAGCTTCATCCGCCTCTTTCCCCTTTCCCAGAGCACAGACAGATGGCTAAATATCAACCTTTAACCACTCTCCTTAATGATCACAGCTAAGAACATTATTTGATTTTCATTTTTTAAATGCACAATTGAATATGATGTGAAAACACATGACACTGTTGAAAAACAAATACTTTGAAATTTTTAAAAATGACATGAAATCCACTGACATCCAAAATCTGTAAGAATGCGATAGATCACGTTGAATAATTAACTTGTTCAAATAAGAAAGAGAATAATGTTTCATGCTTTCTGGTGAGTGCTTCATCAAAATTCATTCCATCACCCTGAATAGGTCGGTGAGGACAGACCAAATGCTAGTTCTGTGGCTGGACCCAATATCTGAGCTCTTGCAGTGGGCATGGGTTATTTTTCCTCCACCAATTGGTTGGCTCCAAATGTTGAGAGGGACTATCCAGAGTGCCCAGTGACAAAATGAGGAAAAGAACACTTGAAGACCAGCTTAGTACTTCTCACCAGATTGCTCCCTCCACCTTGACATACTTTTGCTTTCTCTCATGTCTGGTTCCCCAAGTGAGATGACAGGGTCCTCAAACAGCCCAGAGACCATCACTCAGCCATCTTTTCAGCCCAGCTGCTTTCAGCAGGGCAAAATTGCATACCGTTTTGAACTTAAATGTCCACAGCAACGGTTCCAACCTAAACTTGTATTTTATTGTAATCAGCTTCCACGGGGGAATTTGTGGCCCTTGTACAAAAGCGAGGCACAGTTGAATAACCTCAATTTCTCTGAACTGGTTGCTTTGGGGGCCAGGAGGAACAAACACAGATATTCTATCATGTTAACAAAGGGCAAGCCTGTCCAGCTTGTCTATTTTGGACAAATCATATTTAAAAGACAAACAAAAAAACCTTCATAATACTTCTTTCTGTAAGGAGACTTTAGAAAAAAAGAGTAATGCTACAAAATCACTGAAAATTTTAACTTGTAATCTTTATACTGGAAAATAATCATGGCTGGCCCACTTTCATGTAATGGTCAGCATAAGGCTGATGGATTCCTCCAGCTCTTCACAGGGTCCCCATGATGGGAAGGGCTCTATTTGTCTAAGGAACCTGAAATTCACTTGGTGTACCATCAATAGAGCAGAAACTTCCATGTGAAAATTGTGGTTTAGTAAACAGCCTACTAGGAAATTTTTGTTACAATGTTGAATATGGAAATTGATCTATCTAGAAATTGATAATCTTGTCAAACATGTGGAAAAGATTTTATATATATATATAGTCCAAACTTCTACTCAATCATCCCCCAAAATTACTGTTCATCTTCTAGGTAATCAAGGGCTCTCAAATTTCTGATTTCCCACAGTTCTAACTATAAGGAAGGGAAGGATCTGTTCCAAACCAAATGGCTGGAAACTGCCTCAGTTTCTCCATTTCACCCTTCCAAGTAATTCTCATTGATTCTTCTTGTCACAATGGGAGGAGGCACTATCGTGTTGATTCTTGCTCTAATAGAAAATTCAAGATGTAGTGAGTAGGCATCTTACCTACTCAGAGGAAGTAACTGAGCATGTTGACTTAAAAGGCATACATCCTGACAATTAAATAGAACAACAAAAGTTAACCATACCTCATAAAAGACTTTTAAACATTGCTTAATAGTGTTAGAGCTGAAGAGTAAGATTCTTCCTGGAGGATCAGTAATGTGAGAAAACAAGGGACAATAAACCAGTTCCAATATACTGCAGTCTCTTTCCAGAGGAAACTAGCCAAGTGTCTGCAGTACCTAAGTCCTGCTTGGCTTTACCTGTCGCCTGGGCCCTTGGTGATTTGTTCTGCCCCACTGGCAACTGTGGTACCAACATTGTTTAGGTTCTGACCACCTTCATATGGGCACAGTCTGCCAGCAGCTCACCTCAAGTTTGCACTGCACAACTCTCACCTACAGATCTGGGAGTGCCCTGTCCCTGCTGAAGCATGAGATGCTGCAAACCTATTTAGTGTCCAAGCAAATGCAACTTGTACAGGAAGCTTCTGCCAATAGGAAGCAAGAACTAGAAGACAAACTATTTACCCTTCCTCCCCTAGAACAGATTGTCTTGAGATGTTATAGTTCATATGGCCGTTTGGAAGATTATTCTTCAAGAGTGAGCAGTTAGTTGCACTTGATACTAAACAGTAGCCACACTTGTAACATATCCAAATAGGACCTCTCTCCTCTCCTACTTCACATATGCTTCCCTGGGATTGTATTTGCTAATGAAATAAAACAGCAGCACATACACTTCTGCCTCAGGCTTTGCTTTCTGGGGAAAGCAGACTAAAATAGACACCCCTCTATTCCCATCACTATGTTAATGAATTTCCTACCTTTGGCTGTGGGGGTGGTGCACAGGGAGCTGAAACAGGATCTGTGATATAGGTCTTCTTGGGGCCAGTGACTGGATACATCCCAGCAGGGTTCTGGTTCCCTGCTCCAGGAGCAGTGTACCCCGGTTCCCGCTTCCAGGTATTTGGGTGTCCTTGTTGACCATAGGCAGGATCAGAGTCATTTCTGCCCCCATAGCCAGGCCCTGCTGCATAATAGGGTTCATAATAGCGTCCTTGGTTGGGAGCATACCCATACCCAGGCTCAGGCTGAAGTCCTGGTGGTGGAATATATGTGTACTCTGTGCCTGCCCGGGTTGAAGGAGGTGGACACTGCCCAGAGACAGGGACTGGCTGAGTGTTATATCCTTGGGGTCCTGGACCATAAATTTGTCCTGCTGAAGGTGCAGTCATGTAATGAGGACTGGGCTGGGCTGACTTCACTTGCACATTGAAGGTGGGCCTTGAAGAGGTGGATGCCGTGGTGTAGGAGGCTGGGACTGGCTGAGGCTGGGGCTTGAGTGTTCCAATTGGAGCCACAGGGATGGGTCCAACCTGGGGTGCAGGCTGTGGTTTCATTGTAGACTTTTTGGTTGCCGTAAGAGGCGGCTGGTTTGGGATGACCATTCTCTTGTGTCCTGTGACAGGGGTGGAGACTGCAGGTGAGGCTGTTGAACTAGTAGAACTCTAAAGTAAAAGAGAGAAATAAAACAAGACAAAGATTACTGCCAATGAAACAAAATAAAAATATATAAGTGAACCAATATTAATAGTTGCTAATTATTATTTATGTATTAATATGTAAAATACAAATAAGGCATGGTCCTTCCTTCAAACAGTTCACAGAATAACACAAATATCAGCTGTGTTTCTGTGTGCTGCCAATGAACAAGGTTAGTAAGGAAACAAGTCAAATTATGATAGAATCAAAAAGAATAAAACATCTAGGAATAAATTTACCTAAACAGAGAAAAATATTATACACTGAAAACTACAAAACATTGAGGAAGGAAATTTAAAAAGACACAAACAAATAGAAAGACATTCATGTTCATGGATTGGAAAACGTAATACTGTTAAAATGTCCACACTACCCAATGACTCCTACAGATTTAGTGCAATCCATATTCAAAATCACAATGGCATTTTTTACAGAACTAGAAAAAACAATTCCAAAATTCTAAAACATGAAACATAAAAGACCACAACTAGCTAAATCAATCTTGAGAAAGAAGAACAAAGCTGGAGGCATCACAATTCCTGATTTGAAACTATGTTACAATACTACAGTAATCAAAACAATATGGTATTGGCATAAAGACAACACAAACCAATGGAACAGGAAAAAGAGCCCAGAAATAATCCACATTTATATGTCAATTGATTTTCAACAAGGGTACCAAGAATATACACAGGGGAAAGGACAGTCTCTTCAACAAATAATGTTGGGAAAACTAGATGTCCACCAGTGAAAGAATGAAATTGGACCCTTATCTTACACCATCAACTACAAATGAATCAAAGACTTCGAGATGTAAAAAACATACAATAATAAAACTAAAACTTCTAGAAGAAAACATGGAAGAAAGCTTTATGACATTGGTTTTGGCAATGATTTCATGAATATCACACTAAAAGCACAGACAATAAAAACAAAAGGAAATGAGTGGGACTACATCAAACTAAAAAGCTCCACATGATAAAGGAAACAATCAACAGAGTGAAAAGACAATCTATAGCATGAGAAAAAACATTTGCAAATCATATAAGGGTCCTTCAAAAAGTTCATGGAAAGATTCATATTATCTTTTAATTCTATTTTTCCATGAACTCTTTGAAGTACTCTTGTATATCTGATGAGGTATTTATGTCCAAAATATGTAAGGAACTCTTCTAAATCAAGAGTAAACAAACAAACAAAAAACAAATAACCTGGTTAAAAAATGAGCTAAACAAGCATTTCTTTTAAGAATACATACAAATAGCCAGCAAGTACAAGTATATAAAAAAATGTTCAATGTTACTAATGATAGGGAAATGCAAATCAAAAGCACTATGAGATATCACCTCACAGATGTCAGGATAGCTATTATTAAAAAAAATAAATAAATAAAAAAGGTCAAAAGACAACAAGTTTTGGCCAGGATGTTGGAATCCTTGCACACTGTTGGTGGAAATGCAAAATGCTGCAGCTGCTATGGAAAACAGTATGTAGGCAACTCAAAAAATTAAAAATAAAACTGCCATATGATTTAGCCATCTCAATTGTGGGTATTTATCCAAAAGAATTGAAAACAGAATCTCAAAAAGAGATTACCACTCCTATGTTCACTGTAGTACTTTTCAAAGTAATCAAGATATGGAAACAACTTACATGTCCATTGGCAGATGAACATATAAAGTAAATGCACTATATTATATGCACAATGAAATAATATTCTGTCTTCAAAAAAGGAAATTCCATAATATGCAACATAATGAACATTGAAGACATTGCTAAGTGAAGTATGTCAGTCACAGAAAGACAAATACAGCAAAATTCCACTATATGAGGTATCTAAAAAAAACAAATTCATAGAATCCAAGAATGGAATGGTGGTTGCCACAGGCTGGGGGCAGAATGAACTGGGGGATTATTAATCGATGAGCATAAAGTTTCAGTCAAGCAAGATGAATAGGCTCTAGAGGTCTGCTCTTCAACATTGTACTGCTGGTGGACAATAAAGCATCCTCAAAAATTTGTTAAAAGAGTAGTGAGACAGGAGTGTATGAAGTTCTCCTGACTTGAGCAAAAGGGAAATTGAGGGCCTCCTCCAAGAGACAGAAGATGTTCAAGAGGTGCACTTTGTCTGTTCCTGTCTCATGGGCACAGCCAGTTTTGATTGGCACTATAGACATCCATTCACCAGTTATTATGCATTAACTCCTCTACCAGACTAAATTCCTGGGGGACAGGGAGACACATACTCTTCATCCCAGGATACTATCCTACCCCCATTAACCTCACAAAGCTTTACTCGTTGGAGATGCTTAGAAAATGACTAATGGAACAGTACCACATAAAAAGGACGGCTACAGAGATACACATTTCAAAAAATGACATACATACACATATCTGTATTTATAGATAAGTATAATTTTTAAATGTGCTTGATTTTTAAAATGAAAATGTTAAATCATGGTAAAACTTCAAGAATTTCTGCAAAAATAAAAGTGAAGTGAAATGCCAAAAATAACTGCTTAGAAGCATCAAATAATACAGTAAGTAGAAAAAATTCACTATGTATTTAATTAAAAATGTGGGCTGAGAGAATGTTGCCATAGTTTTCTTCAACTATAAGGGACATAAATAAATATGCTTTAAAATGATTCCAGTTCTTTATCTCTTCCACTTCCAATGAGGTAAAGCATGTTAAAGTTTCAAATGAAAAATATACATATATATATAGCTAAATATGCTATTTTCAAACATATAGTTATGTAAAATATTCAGAAACATGCCGGCACACACACAACAGAATTGGCAATAAAGTTAGGGAAACCTTGTCATCACCAAAGAGAGTTCTGCTAGTGAGATATTTCCTAGAAGAAAGCAATGGCTCCTGAAATTGTTCCCCAATGCATTCATTCAAAGACTTTAGGAATGTTTGAATAGTGTGTGTGTGTGTGTGTGTGTGTGTGTGTGTGTGTGTGTGTGTGTGTGTGTGTGTGTGTGTTATTAAGAAAGAAAGGGAAAATAGAACGGTGTGAAAAAAGTTGCCTCTCAGGAGCTAGGTATACATTAATTCTTTTTTGTTTACGAATATTATGGGTTTTCATTTTTTAAATATGTGAATTTTGAAGTATCTGTTTTTGGGGACAGACTTCACAGCTGCATCAGAGAGTACGCATGTCATTAGCCCAGTTGCTCAGTCACTGTCTCCATTTATAGTTGGGTTTGTAAAGTGTTCAAAATAGGAGCTCTGTGTTTCTGCTGATATTGAGTCATCAAATAAAAGCAAAGTTTTATTCTTTCATTCAATTCCATCTATGCTCACTTTCTTATGACTGACACGGTTGACTAGAATAATCTGATCTTAAATTTTTTCTAGGTTCAAACTGACTTTTCCATGTTCTCTGTTACAAAATGTCGGAGTCTTAACTGAGTATTTCTTTAGGAACATTTTGACTATATATGTTTTAATAAATTGCTTAATAAGGAAACTACACCTGTTTCTATTCTTATTATTGGGACCACCTTCAAGTAGAAGGGAAATGCCACTTCACCAAGACAAGAATATCCAGGCTGCTTAAGTTACAAAAGTAAATGATAAGTTTGCTTCCCGAAAGACTAGTATTAAAAGAAAAAGGAAAAAAAAAAGGATAACTGTTTATTCAACTGTCTCCTGTAACTTAACAGGGAACCTAATCTAGAATAAAAAAAATCCCTAGGAAATGATAGTTGAGACAAATGATATGTGGAAAAGACAGGTGTAAGGATCAGGATCCCAACAAAAATGACAGCACACTCAAACTAGGTCTTCTCAAGGAGACGATTTATATAAGCCTTATGTACGTAGACCCATATCAATGTAAAGGAGCCATGAGACAGAGAAATCATGTAGGTTAGTAGTCAGAGTTGTCATTTCCTCTAGTCTCAAAGAGACAAAGAGAGAGAGCAGGTATTTGAAACAGAAAGGACATAGTGCTATAAAAGAGAGGACCAGTGATCTTTCTTGACAGACAGTTGGAAATTTATAATCAGCAAGCCAGAGGAAGACATGTGGCATAAGAGTCTATCAGTGTCTCTCAAGGGGCCACTATCATCAGCATCAGTTTAACAATAATCTGTTTTGTCCCCTACCCATTCAATGATAATACTGCTTCCTAGTCTTTGCAACAACAACAAAAGTCCCCATTCATTTCCAATCTCCCCCTGATCAGAAGGTGGTTTCCTCTCCAGTTGAGAACCATTAGCAGTGAAATGTCAACCAAATGTCCCTGGGAATTTTTAAATTTTTATCTGTGGAACAGCCTACATCACCAGAGAGCTATATATCTGCATCAAATAGAATTTTATATTATGACAAATGAAATACTTTTTAAAATTTTTTCTGTGAAATCACTACTGACAATACCCAACATATTGCTCAATTGCCCCTGAATAATGATCCCCATTACCTGACACAAGACCTCTTCTTTTCTCTGTCTATTTGATCTCCCCAGGACCATGCCCATAACTTGAAATATCTTTT